GTAACATCGCAAACATATTATTCACCTGAGTACACAACACCAACACAGAAAAAAATTCATATTACTAGAACACATTGGTATTGAAGGAAATACTGTTCCGAAATATCACTTACTCGAACCGTCCTGACCGCGTAGCTCAGTTGGAAGAGCATTGGGCTAGTGTTCCAAAGGTCGTAGGTTCGAATCCCACCGTGGCCGGGCATATTTTTCAAGCTCGCCCGGTGTGGATATGCACTCAGAGTAACATCGCTAACATATTTTACAAGAACTTATTAAAGTATACTAAGCTTAGCTTGTTCAGCTAAGGGACGGACCATTGGAAAAGTGATAGGGGGGGGGGGACATTTCCAACCTGTACGATTATTTTTTCAAAAGTTTTTGCTTTTAAAATAATCCCTTGCTCAAATTGTTTTTTCCCAAAAAGTGTTGGCGAGCGGGGGAGGGGGGGTGTTAACGTTTTTTCAGGACACTAAAAAAAAGGGTAAAAAAATTTCCGGATTAACATAATTTAAGTTAAGGTTCAAAAAAACATTTTCCCTCACAAATTTTTGTTAAAACATGCTTAAAACCCTTTTTTCACCAATATCTTCAAGATTTTGGTTTAGAAAATTCCTTTTCCGTTTCGCGCTAGTCGTTCTGAAAGCGTGTCTAGGAAATGATAAGTTTTACGACTACATCCACCATACGCACTGAAAATTAGTGGTGTGAACGAGCGTGTTCTATACCCATGGGCGTACCGGAAGGAAAAAATTAGGGGAGCGGAAAGAAAATTGCCCGACTTTTCGTGATTGTGCCCAACTAGTACCGAAGTACTAGTACCTGGCGACTTCCACCCCCCCCCGTCGCCAAAAAAATTTTGGTCAGTGTACCATTTTAGGGGTCAAAAAATTTTTCCGGACATACAAAAATTTTCCGAATATCACACAAATTTTCCAAAAAACACTACATTGGCCACAAAATTGACTGAATTTTCGACAAAATTTACAGAATTTGTCCCATTTATTTTTATAACAAACCTAAATTGCCCGACTGTTAATCGAATATTGCCCGACTGCCCAAAAAACTGGCGGGGGCGGCTACCGCCCCCCCCCCCCGCCCGGTATGCCTATGTCTATACCTGTATAGCGCTGCATGCATGGTTGTGTCACTTTGAAATAAATAGAAAAATTATATTTCGTTAGTGAAAAACATGTACATTCCTGTATTTTGGACAGCCGCCTACATTTTCACCACAGGCACAGCCGCTTACTTAAGCCCTGATGTCGGCTCGAGGGAAAGACAGTTAGTTGTCTTAGTGACAAAATTCTTCATTATCTTGTGTTTGATGCATGGCAAATATGGTAATGCCTAATGGAAACATTTTGTATCATTTGCTTCATAACATAAGTGCATCGATATACGTGTGAAGTTGTTAATTTACGCTCACATATCGATTTTGTCCATGAGAAACGTCATATGGACGTTTCTCTTCAGACACCCACCCCCCTTAGAAATGTCACACATAGTTATCGATATTTTGTTCTTATAGTACACATAAGGTAATTTTCTACTATTGAATTTGACCGGTCCTCGAGACAGTTGAATTGAAATAGGTCAGATTTTGCTGACATATGTTTTAAAAATTCCCAACGTTTCTCAAAAAACTTTTTTGCATGAAATATCACAATTTTAGCGCGTTTTTTTCTTGAAATATGAGTGTTTTCAATTCAGGGTCAGGGAAGGCGTAATAATATAAATCAAATGTATCACGAATGTATGCATTTGAATCAAATTGTTTTCTTTTTTATATTCTGCAAAGATGATTCCGAATTGTTAAGACTTTCGAAAAAACTATCGAATTTTTCCATGATGTTTTACAGAGAATCTTGTCGTCATTCGTCATACTCCTGTTTCAAACAATCAGTTTGAAAAGCCTTTGAGCTTTCGACTAATATATGCTTGAATATAGCTATAATTAAGAAAGTATACACAGAACTCGATATCTCAATTGAGAATTTAATTTTTCTATATTGTTTTTGTATGCAAATATAAATGGACACTTTATTATATAGTTTTATCGCCATGCAATCCTACAAAGAACTTATCTAAGTGCACTCAGAGGCGTAGTCAGGGCTGGGGCCGGGGGGCCCGGCCCCCCTGGCAAAATCTTGCCCCCCACCTGGCAAAATTTTTTGGGGGGGGGCCTGATAAAATGTATTGTATAAAAAAGGGAATCCTTGATTAGGCCATATAAAAAAAAATAGTTGGTTAGCGTCCTTAGCTTTTACCAAAAAGTGGGCGGGCGGGCGCTTTTTTTTAATTTTTACTAATTTTTAACGCCTTGGTTTTACTCACTG